TGGGCGGGTCGCGCCTTTACAGTCGAGGGGCGGTGCTGCTGCCCATTGGCTGGGGCGGGTCCGGCGGGCCCCCGCCCCCTCCGCTGACGGGGGTCATTGGGCCGCGCTGGCCTAAGCCTCACCCCGCCACCGCCTGACCTCTGCAGGAGTCAGGAGACGGAGTCTGCCCCTTTTGCTGTGTGACACTGGGTAGGTTCCTGCTGTTCACGTAAAAAGCAAGTGAATGTTGAGTGACACCAAGAGTCACAGCTCCGATTCCTATGAGACACGAGCCAGGTGACAAAAACACAAGCAAGTGCCCCCAGGACTGGAGACCTGGAGAGGGGGCTGGAGCAGTGGGGGCTGGTGCGTGGGCTCAGTCCCCATGACCTGACTAGCATGCCAGAGGGAAGGATTTTTCAAGTGACTCCAAAATCCAGATTTTTAGGTGAAATTTCTCAATGTGTTATTGTTGGTAGCTAATCCCAATTTCAGAAACTCTTGAGCAGCCCACACAAAGCCCTTAAAAGAGCCTCCTAAGCCGGGCGTAGTGGCATACTCCTGTAATGCCAGCACTCCAGAGGCTGAGGCAGGAGGATCACTGTGAGTTCAAAGACAGCCTGGACTACACAGTGAGTTCAAGGCCAGCTTGGGGTACATAGCAAGACCTCTTAAAAAATAAAAATAAAGAAGGCCGGGGATGTAGCTCAGTTACACCCCGCCTGTCTGGTAAGTGTAAGGTCCTGAGTTTGATCCCCGAACTGGAGAAAGATAAAAGGGCCTCCTAAATACTACGACTAACATTGTTTGAGGTCCTGGTGGCTTTGGCAGCCTTAAGGGAGTAGCATCCCTGGGCCCTTTACCCAAATGTTATGGAGGACTGAGACAGGAAGGGAAGGCCCTCCAGTTACTTGACAGCTTCAAGTCCTGAAACTTACAACAGTGGGTGGAACCTGGGCTTCAGTTGACAGTGGTCCTTGATTGGGCTGGCCCGGGGACTAAACTGGTCCAGAAAATTCCCCTGTGTTGGAGGATTCCAGGAAAATGCTCTGCCCTCCTCCCCGTCTGTATTTGTGGTCAGAGTCATGCCTAAGAGCGTTTGGGGACCCGGCTCAGATCCCAGCTTCCAGAGAGGCCCTGGACACCGGCATCTCCTCCTGCCCAGCCTGTAGCTAAGGTCTTTGGCTGGGCCAGTTTGAGTGTTTGGAGGTCGGAAGGCTCTTTCCAAAAGCAGGGCCACACTGGCTGGGGACTTGTGTAGTCTCTGGAGGACTCTTCCAGGAGACAGGATGACCCCTGTGTTTAGTTGTTGGGCCAAGCAGGATCTGGCTGGGACAGTCACCTTCTAGATGTCCCCTTTCAGCTTGTTGGCTTCTGTAGGGTCCTTTCCCCAGGACAGGCAGGACTCTGCACCCCACACTTTCTTGAGTCATGGATATGGAGCATGACTATAAACCTCTCTGTTCCTGGACAGAGCTGGCCTGGGTATGTTTTGTTTGTCCTGTGTGGCAGTTTAAAAAGTTTGAAGCCATTCCCAGCACTGAAAAATCAGGTGGTTTCACATTAGAACGGGGCTTCCCAGCTTGCTTTGAACAGGAAGTCTCAGCTGTTGCTGAATGGCAGCTGCCCCCTCTGGCCAAAGTTTGGGCTCGTGGGTCACCCTTTTTGTTACATCTCCCTATTGTTTGGTGCCTGGCTTTTCACTCACTTGAGCTTGCTGACTGGCTCAGAAGCATTTGGGTTGTCAGTCCATACTGTATGGCCTCTGGTCATACTGTTTCTATGCTCTTGTCTTGAGCTGTGTGTCCTCTGAGGCCACTGGTACTATCCCCAGATGCCCTGAGGAAGAAGGGTGTCCAAGAGCCTCTAGCCTGATTTAAAAAAGTTTTTTGGTACCAGGGATCGAACTCAGGACCTTGCACTTGCCAGGCAGGCAGCAGAATCACTGAGCTAAATCCCCAGCCCTCTAGCCTGATTTTCTTCAAGAAACAGGACTTCCTGGCCTGAGGATTTAGCTCAGTGGCAATGTGTCTGCCTCACAAGTGCAGGGTCCTGAGCTCTATCCCCGGTACTGCAAGAAAAAATCAAAAGAAGCAGGACTTCCTGATAGCCTTGAAGCCCTTTGCCTCTGTGGCCAGTTTTCATTGATGGAGAGAGACCCCTTGCTCTGCCTAGTGTCCACCCCTACCTCATCTCATTCCCTGGGCTCACACAGGTCCGATGCCACCCCACTCAGAGACCCCATGAGGGGAGGGAACTAGGGTATATGGGTTGGCCCCAAAGGTGATGGACATTCCAGGAACCTGGACTGGTTTGGATCAGGGCAATGTCAAGGTGTCTGACAGTGGGAAGGGGCCTGAAGCAGGAAAGATTTGCGGGAACCAGAGGAGAAGGCTCAGAGCTTCTTGCCCTAGGCCTTCTACCTGTGCTTTCACAGGAGCATGAGGAGGGCTGGTAGCATTGTCAAGACCCCTCTCTAAACCCAGTTGGTACCATCATTCTGGGACCTGGGCTGGAGGGTAGGGCAGATCTGGGCTCTTGAGCTTCTGTGACTTTGGGCCCAGGTCAGGGTCAGAGTCCTTCAGGGTAACACCCAGGGACTGTGGAGTGGGAGAGGCACTGACACCACCACTGGCCATCTCCCAAGTTGAGGCTCACCTACATTCTAGACCCAGACCCAGGTCAGTCTCTTTATGAGGCCTAAGGTCAGGCCTGTGCCAGCACTGGCTAACCCTTGGTGTTGGGTACCATGACCCCATTTCCCAGCCTGTGTTGTACTGTGGACAGCAAGATGCTCCTGCCTGGCAGAGCTGTCCAGGTGGCTCTACCTGAGGCAAGGAGGGCTGGCCTGACCTGTTGGAGGAGCCAGCTTTGCCACCTGTGACTCCCTGCCCCCATGTCCTGAGTCAGTGGGGAGGAGCCAACAGGAAGGGGATGAGGGAGGCCAGCCTGGGCCTCTTCAGGTGGTTGGTTTAGAGCATGGCTGAGGCATCACTGCCACAGTGAACCCCCAGGCCTCTTCCTTTAACTCACCAAAGCAGCAGGAGGACCAGAGAGGATCCTACTGAGCCCACTTGTTCCCAGCATCTATCTTGAAGTCACTTGTCACCTCTTGTTCCTACCCCTCCCAGCCTGTTCCTATACCACCTTCAATTGAAACATGCTACCAGCTTTTTGATGCCCATCACTCATTAGAGGCAGAACTCCCCTCCTGTCACCAGGCCTGTGCCATCTGGCTTTGTCCACCCTAGCTTGAGCCTTAACTCCTTACCTTCACCTCGGCCACCAAGTTTCCATCCCTCAAAAGGCTTTGTACCCACTGCCTCAGGACCTTTCACATCCTGCTCTTGCTGCCTGGAATTCTTGTCCTGTGATGTTTGATTTTTCCCTAACATCAGAATCCTAGAGAATATCCTCTCCAGGCGCTCAGCCAAGGCCTAATTGCCCTGCTACCTACTGCAGGTCTTCGGAGAACCCTTACTTCATGTGTTGAGCTGTGGGGCTGTGTCTGCCTCTCGTACCAGGATGTGAGCTCCTTGAGGACAGGGGTGGAGTCTTGTACTCATTTCTGGTCACACCTATAGGCTGAGGTCAGGGATGGGGACAGTTTAGGTCATCAAAAGAATAATTGATCATGAATGAATGAGTGAGTAAAGCCTAGAGGGAGCTACTGAAGGGGACCTGATGCTGACCCTACAGGTGCTAGCTCCAGCATGGGCATGCCCAGGTCACCCGGCTCTGTCCCCACTCACCTCCTCCATCAAGGTTGGAAGTAGTCAGACCAGACTGAAAAAGGCAGCACCGAGCCCAGCTCACCCTGCCACCCAAGCATAATTAGGGGCCTATATCACAAGTGACCAGCTCTGGGGATTCCAGGAAATTGTGGAAGCACCTAGGGCCCTCCCCAGCTTCCTGGCCCATTATGTATCTCCTGGCAGGGTGGGAGGAGAGGTGGGCAAGGCAACTGGTGTTGAGATCAGGAGGCTGGGCCTCTTGTTGCCTGGGTGAGGAATAGAGGCAGCTGCCACAGCTGAGTGACCTGTGACCACTGGGACCACACAGGGATAGGGGACTGTTTAAAGGTGTCAGGCTGGAGGTCCAAGCCCAGGGGTCCCTGGCAACAAGAAATCAAGACCAGAAGCCAGAAACAGAAGGCACCCTTCCAAGTTCTCCTGGGCCCCCTCTCAAATGCTGTGGGGCTGGGAGGGGGTTGCTGTAAAGGGACTCCCATGGGCCACATGGGAGGGAGGTGGTTGTAACAGGTAGCCAACCGAGGTGGAGCCTGGCACAGAGTAGCAAGGGCCCTGAGGCCCTGAGGGCTTCTAGTGGCAGTCCTAGCCACCATGGCCTCCTGACATGACTCCTGCCTCAGGAACACAGGGAGTGGGAACATCCTGCCTACACAGCCTGGACTGCAGACTTGGAGACAGCAGGGAAGCCCAGAAGCTGTGGGAGCCATTCTGCCCAGCCCCTGGCCCGGGCTTGGCGATGAGGACTTTGAGTTGGCATGGAGAGGGATCTGAGTCTCTAAGATATAGTGGAGGTCCAAAGCATTGGGGCAGATAGGCCAGGTGCCACTACACTTTAACACCAAGCTAGAGCACCTGGGGTGGACCCCACTGACTACAGGCAGCACTGGGTGGGGATGGGCTAGCATCATCTCCCACCTCCAGCCAGTGCAGGCCTGGTGTCCAGGATGGCTGAGGGAGAAGGGGACAGAATGTACGTGGGGTACTCAGAAAAGCCTTGGTGAGAGTTGGGCCTGAGGTCCTCAGTGCAGAGGCCTAGCGAAAGTCCTGTAGAAAAGCAGTAAGATAGCTGGATGTGGGGTTGTGCTTGGCATGTGGACAGCACAAAGACGAAGTAGAGAGTCATGGGGGACCAGCCTAATGCAGCTAGAGCAACTGAGTGGCTCTTGGTCACTGGCACCTTCCAAGTCCCGATTTAGGGTAACAAGACACACATTGCTCCTGCTCCCCCTTATTCATCATCCCGCCTACTCACTGGCCTTCTCTCCCCAGATCCCTGATTCCCCTACTGGATCCAGACTCTGGCCTCCTGGTCCTGGCAGGAAAGGTGAGCAAGGAGCTGGGCTTCAACTTGTGTCCATTACCCAGAGTTGGGCCCCTGGGCCAGTGTCCTTCTTGCTGTACCCCAAAAGAGGAAGAACTAGAACAGTGCACCCACCCCACTGCCAGGGATGTCTCCCTCTGGGAGGGGCCGAGATGCCCTACAAAGTTGCCCTCAGAAGGGCAAGACCAAGAACAGCAGTGTTGAGACGTGTTCAGCACACTGTAAATCCTGACATACCCCTAGTGCTTACCATGCAAAATGATGATGGGCCACTGAGGCAGAGTCGGCTCAGTTTGGCACCTGGTGTGAGGCTGTGCTCCTGGACAGCACCATGGTTCTGTGGCTCAGGTCCCTGGGGAAGAACAGGTGGTGGAGAAGAAGCTGGCACTAGACCTCAGCCACCAGGATGTGGTCAATGAGTGATGTTCAGGCTGGGCTTTTTGCAGGGTGAGAGTCAGCTATACTGCTACGAGGTGGCCTTGCAGCAGCCGGCATTGAGCCCAGGTGAGCCCTGTCCCCTCTTGTTCTCCCTCTCCTTTGAGCCTCTTTTCCTGACTATTCTGCCATGTTGCCTTTGACAGTGACCCAGTGCATCCTGGAGAATGTGCTGCGGGGGGCAGCCCTTGTACCCCGGCGAGCACTAACTGTCATGGGCTGTGAGGTGCTCCGTGTCCTGCAGCTGAGTGATGCAGCCATTGTACCTATCAGCCACCATGTGCCCCGGAAGGTGAGGGGACCCTGGATGAGGGCTGAGGGCCCGGGGAACTCAGCCCTTATTGACCTGCCTCTCTTCCACCAGACTGTGGAGTTCCATGAGGACCTGTTCCCAGACACTGCTGGCTCCATACCTGCCTCCAACCCCTACACCTGGTGGACTGGGAGCAACCAGCAGGTAGGGCTGACTGCTCCCACCTGGTGCCATCAGCTCCTGGAAACCCTCCATTCCAGCTTTATGCTAACTTGTTGGCCCGCCCTTCTGCTGACCCCTGAGCTTTACCCAGCCCACCCCTATGGAGGTTCCTTCCTACCTGGCAGACTGTGCCACCCTACTGGCATCCCGACACCCTCACTGCCTTAGCTGCCAGCCTCCCCACAGGTACAGAAGATCAGCCTCAACCCTGCATGCTGGCCCCACCCCAGCTTCACTTCCTGTCTGGTGCCCCTCATGGATCCTCCCCCTGACACACCCCAGCCTGCGGAGACACCAGAGGCCAACACAGACCCAAGTGTAAGTACCAGCTGCCCCCACCCATGACCGATGCAACGCTACAGTAGTTACCTGGGTGAAATCTGAGGTAGACATGTATGGCCACCTACCAGATGATCTTTATGATCTTTTCTATCATCAAGCATAACACAGGAATGTTCACAGCACAGAGTAAAACAGATACCGAGGAAGTGAGAGTTTGCACAAAAAGACTAGATTTCTGGCTTTTCTTGAAACATTGGCAGCTCTAACTCACTTGTCACAGACCACTATAAAGCTAAGAGTCAGGAGCCAGGAACTGCCAACCTACTGTCCCTGAGGCCTACAGCCTTGCCCACCTTCCTGCTCTGTTACCCAGCCCTGTTCTCCCCCTACCACTGTCCATTCCCACAGCGGGGCTCATGCCCACCCCATGGTCTCACAGCCTAGAGGGACGCAGAGTGATGGCCCTGGAGTTGGACAGCTGTGTCTTCTATCCCTCTGGCCTGCCTGCCCAAGGGCCCTCTGGCTGACCCAGGTCCTTCTCCACAGGAGGGTTTTTCTTCTCCAAGCTTGCTGACGTCACCCTCCACACCCTCCAGTTTGGGGGCCTCTCTCTCCAGCACCAGTGGCATTGGCACCAGCCCCAGTCAGAAGTCACTGCAGAGTCTGCTGGGTAAGGCAGTCAGGACAAGGGCCCTCTCTACCCCACCCCTGGCTAGCCATCTCTGTCCCCTAGTCTTGAGGGGAGACTTCATGTAGGCTACTCTCACTTGCCCAGACTTGCAGCTCTGGGCAGAGTCATTTGTCCATTCGTCCCACGGGGTAGAGTGAGACTGCTGAGTGTCATCTGTAAAATCAGAGGGCAACCTGGACCACTGGTTCCCAAGCAGTGTTCCCTGGAGCCCCAGGGTTCCACTGAGATTTCTCAGGGTGCAGACAAGGCAAGGGGGAGCTTCCCACACAAGTTGTGTGTGCCGCCTCTGCAGAGGCCTGGCCTGGGCACACTCCAGGCACCTTTCCATGGTAAGGGCAGCAAGCAGCCAGCAGCCAGGGTGCAGGGCAGACAGGCACAGCTTGTCACTCAAAGCTCCGTGCTCCTGCCACCTGCCAGGCCCCAGTTCCAAGTTCCGCCACGCTCAGGGCACCGTCCTGCATCGAGACAGTCACATCACGAACCTCAAGGGGCTTAACCTCACCACGCCTGGTGAGAGTGATGGCTTCTGTGCCAACCGGCTGCGTGTGGCTGTGCCCCTGCTGAGCTGTGGTGGGCAGGTGGCTGTGCTTGAGGTGAGTGATCCTGCCCAACCAGGGCTGCCCCTCAGATCCCTGTGGGTGGCAAGGACACTAAGAGCCTTAGCTATCCATAGAACCTCATTGAGCACAGACTGTATATCAAACACCTGCCAGTTCACCCAGCAGTCCTCCCAGCTGCCCCATGCAGCAGGTGCCTTCTTATCCCCATTTTACAGATGAGGGTGAAGAGGCACAGAGAGGTTTATTGACCTGCCCAGGTCACACAGCTGTGTAAGTGGAGCTGGGTTCAAACCCAGGCCACCTGAGCCTGGAGCCTGAGCTCTTTGCATCAGTCTGTGCTGCTACCCCTCACTTTCTGGGGCCTCTTCAGTTTGCATGGTGGGGCTCAAACCAGAGGTGGCTAAGGTAGAGCTTGGGCCACTTGGTAGTGCAAACATCTCCTGCAGGGGGGCGGGGCCCAGGCACCCTGTCATCCTGCAGCTCCTAGGTCCAGCTGTCCTGCCTGGATCTCATGGGCCATGGTTGGGGGCACCTTCTTCAGTTGCAGAAGCCTGGCCGCCTACCCGACACTGCACTGCCCACACTGCAGAACAGGGCAGCTGTGACTGATCTGGCTTGGGACCCCTTCGATCCCCACCGCCTCGCTGTGGGTAAGGAGACTGGGTGCCTGGCTTGGGAGAGAATCCCAGGTCCTGAGTGGGGCAGGGGGACTGGGGTTGGGGCCTTCGGCCCAATGGTGAGAAGCTATTGCTCTTTCTACAGCTGGAGAGGATGCCCGGATCCGACTGTGGCGGGTCCCCCCAGGGGGCCTGAAAGATGTGCTCACCACCCCAGAGGCTGTGCTCACAGGTCAGAAGGGCCTGGGATGGGGCTGGGTGGGCCAGTGGCTTCAAGGGGCTCAGTGTCACCCCACAGTCCTCCCCCAGGCCACACAGAGAAGATCTACTCTCTGCGCTTCCACCCACTGGCGGCCGATGTGCTGGCCTCCTCTTCCTATGACCTCACCATCCGAATCTGGGACCTTCAGGCTGGAGCTGAGCGGCTGAGGCTGCAGGGCCACCAAGACCAGGTAGGAAAGTTGCAGGGCAGGGACCCAGCCATAAGGTGAAAAGCTACCTCTCATGTCTCCACCTGTTCGCAGATCTTTGGCCTAGCCTGGAGTCCTGATGGGCAGCAGCTGGCCACTGTCTGCAAGGACGGATGTGTGCGAGTCTATGAGCCCAGGAATGGTACTGAGCCCCTGCAGGTGAGCAACTATGGGCTGGGGTGGCTCCCAGACCCAGTTTGAGGGGCCTGGCTAGGATTCACTTGCTGTATCTCAACAGGAAGGTCCAGGACCTGAGGGGGCACGTGGAGCCCGCATTGTCTGGGTGTGTGATGGTCGCTGTCTGCTGGTGTCTGGCTTTGACAGGTGAGGACGGACTCAGAGACCACCATTCCCAGGCTTCAGCAGCCACCTGAGTCCCCTTCCCTAAAGTCACAGACACCTGTCAGGCCTGCAAAAAACTGTTTCACTCCTTACTTACTGGATGGTTGGGTGGGGCTGGGTGGTGGGCAGATGGATTGATGAGGGGGTGGATGGACGAGTGGATGGATGGAAAGGCAGGTAAACAAATGGATAGGTGAGTGGATGAGAGGGAGGGTTGGGGAGGGAAAATGAGACAATGGAGCATCCAGGGAGTGAGAGCCAAGCCCAGGAGCCTGTGCCTGTTAGGGACCCGGTCTAGCACAGGAAGCAATGAACTAGGCCCATTAGAGACCTGGGATATGGTCCCAGATGCACTTTAGAAGAGGAATCAAGGAGGCCCTCCAAAGGGGAGTGTCACCTGAGCTGTGTCACAAAGGTACTGCTGACCAAGACCTGAGGGAGAGGGTGTTTGAATCTGGAGGAAAAGGTCAAAAAGCTGTCCAGCCTGCAGGAACAGGAATTGTGGAGCAGTGTGGGGGAAAGAAACCCAGACCAGGGTCAGCACTGTGCTGGGGATCTGGGGCATAGTGTGGAGGAGGGCAGAGGCAGAGCAGCAAGTTGACACACTGCTACCCTAGCCAGGCCATTTCTTAGGGTTGGAGTCAGCTCCCCCATTGCTGGCTGGGCCTCAGGCTCCCCAGCCCAGAAAGGACAGGGTCCCTGTGGGAGTCTGCCCTGCCCCCCACCTCTCCAGCCCTAAGGTCCTGCTTCTGCTCCTGACCCTCTGGCAGTCGAAGTGAGCGCCAGCTGCTACTGTACATGGCTGATGCCCTGGCGAGTGGCCCCTCAGCAGTACTGGGCCTCGACGTGGCACCATCCACCCTGCTGCCCAGCTATGACCCTGACACCAGCCTGGTGCTCCTCACGGGCAAGGTGGGCTGGGCTGGGAGGGCACAGTGAGGGGTGGGGCTGGTGTAGCTAGCCACCTCACTGTCACCTTCCCACCCTCGCCTCCCCCTTTCCCCAGGGTGACACCCGTGTATTTCTATATGAGCTGCTTCCTGAGGCCCCTTTCTTCCTGGAGTGCAACAGCTTCACTTCACCTGATCCACACAAGGTAAGGCTGCCCTCCCTGGTGACAGCCTTCTGTCCTCAGGTGGAATCACAGGGCTTCTCTTCCCCCTGGTGGCCTTTGGAGGAAGTGCAGGAGCCTGGGTTGTCTTGGTCAGAGTGCTGCACCAGTTTTGCCCAGCTGATTATGAAACTATCTGGGAATTTTGAGAGCTACTTATTATAATCAGCTATTATTAAAAATGAGCTGGCCATGGTGGTACATCCTTGTAATCACTGCTACTTGGGAGGATGAGGCAGAAGAATCGCAAGTTCGAGGCCAGTCTGGGCAACTTGGTGAGACCCTGTCTCAAAATAAAATTTTATTTTATTTTATTTATTTATTTTTGGTACCAGGGATCGAACTCGGGTCCTTGCGCTTGCGCAGCAGGCGGCAAAACCACTGAGCTAAATCCCCAGCCCTCAAAATAAAATTTTAAATAGGCCTGGGGATGGAGATGCAGCTCAGTGGCAGAAAACTTACCTAGCATGCACAAGGCCCTGAATATAATCCTTAGTACTGAAAAAAAAAAAAAAAAAAGAAAAAGCCAATAAACAGTTAAGTTGCATAAACCTGAAGTGTGAGCCTATAAATAAACATATTAAAAACCATACTCTAGTGCCAGGGATTTAGCTCAGTGGTTTCGCCACCTGCTGCGCAGGCCCAAGGACCTGAGTTCGATCCCTGGTACCAAAAACAAAACAAAAAAACCATACTCTGTTTGGTCACTTCCTAATTCTCATCAGATTTTACTATTATTTGTGCCATTGAGGTTATGCACCTCTGTTGGGTTTGTGCAGCAGAACTGTCCCTGATGGCGTGTTACTGTACATCTCAACTCTGCATTCAGGGGGTTGGTAGTTTAAAATGGCTCATGGTAGAAGTTTGTACTCTGTGGAAACAGTTCAGGGCTACACATCAGGCCTTTTCCCACCAGAGAGCCAAATGTGTACATTATCAGTATGCTACCGTCCAGGGACAGGCCATGATCCTGGCAGTCTTACTATTATTATTTTGATTTTTTGAGACAAGGTCTTGTTATATAGTTCAGGCTGGCCTTGAACTCATGCCCAAACTCCTGCCTCTGCCTCCCAAGTGCTGGGACTACTGGTGTGCTCCACCCCTCCCGGCAAGTCCTGGCAGTGTCTAACTCCTATTTCTTCATTCTCCCCAAGGGCTTCATCCTCCTGGCCAAGACTGAGTGTGATGTGCAGGAAGTGGAGTTTGCCCGGTGCCTGAGGCTGCGCCAAACCTCTCTAGAGCCTGTTGCATTCCGCCTGCCCCGAATCAGGGTGAGGTTGGGTCCACAGACTCCAGCGCTTAGTTCCCATTTTCAGCACTGGCCAGGGATTTCAGTTTCTGTCTGGTTCTGCCCCTAAACCTCTTGGCTCTGTTCTTTGGGACACCTGCTTCCTTATTCTACTGAAATTCTGGAACTCATGGAAACCCCAGCATCGGCATGGGGGGAAGGGGGAGGTTTCCAGGTCTTGCTAGAATGCCCTGGCCTTTGGTCAGTGTCTCAGGACAATCCCCTCCACCCATGCAGAAAGAGTTCTTCCAGGATGACGTGTTCCCGGATACAGCTGTGAGCTGGGAGCCGGTGCTCAGTGCCGAGGCCTGGCTGGGAGGCGCTAATGGACAACCCCAGCTGCTCAGCTTACAGCCCCCTGGCATGACCCCAGGTGGAATAAGGGGCTGGGTACAGGGAGGAGGCAGGGGAGTTTGGGCAGGGCTGGAGGAGGGGGCAGACAGCTTGATTCCAGTCCTTTCTCCCTGCTGATGTACGGAGATTTCTGACTCTCCTGAGGATGGAGCACCATGTCTCCGACCATCTTGAGCCTCTGGAGAGCAGGACCTGTGGTCTGTGTTTCTATCCCAGGTCCCACCACCAACACACAGACATTCAGCACACTTGCTGCTACCCAGGGCAGGCCTCATGAACGGAGGCTTCAGTAGCTGTTAATGTCCTGTTGGGTCTCTGCCAGGGAATCCCCTAGGGCCTGGCACCAAGCAGCTCCCACCCAGGGGACTGTCTGATACCTGTCCTTGCCCCACCCCAGTGAGCCAAGCCCCCCGAGAAGCCCCTACCCGGCGAGCCCCATCTTCAGTGCAGTACCTGGAGGAGAAGTCAGACCAGCAAAAGAAGGAAGAGGTAGGCATGGGAGAGAGCTGGCCTTGTGCATGGAACAGACAAGGATCTTGGTTGTGCCTGGTTGTCCTTCAGGTCTCTAGCTGTGACCCAAATGGGAAGGGGAGCCACATACGTGTCCACCGAGTTTGGTGTGGAGACTTTCCAGGTCCCTTGATATGCTTCCCCTAGGATGCAGCAAGCCAGAGAGGGCAGGGAGAGGCCCCTTCCTGGATGGGCCTAACACAACCAAAGCTGGAGTTTGGGAACCCAAGTGTGTTTGGGAACCTGGTGTCCGTTTGAGCCTTTGAGGCAACACGCACAAACAGTGGCACCTGACACAGGCCCCACGACATAGTCTCTGTCTCTAACTCCCCTGTCTTTGTTTGTTCTTTTGCTATACTGGGGATTGAACCCAGGGCCTTGCGTATGCTAGGTAAGCATTCTATCTACTAACCTACATCTTCAGCCCTTTAAAATTTTAATTTTGCTGGGCATGGTAGCGGACACCTGTAATCCTAGCACTTGGGAGGCTGAGTCAAGAGGATCACCGAAAATTTGGGGCCAATCTGAACTACATAACAAGATCTTGTCTCAAAACACCAAAAAATTAATAATAATATTTTTAAACTGCTGAGACAGTCTTATTAAGTAGCCCAGGCTGGCCTTAAATTTGTAATCCTCCTGCCTCAGCCTCCCAAATAGCTGGGATTACAGGTATGTGTCAGGGTGCCCACTGTCACAGTACTTGAGGCCTTTTCAATGAAAATCCATCAACTTTGCCAGGGTTTTACTTGAAAAGGCTTTTCATGACACTCTGGGGTTTTAAACCATGGGGGTCTGATGCTTTTGAGGTTGGTGAGTCTTACTCCTTTCAGTTCTTCTCCTCTCCACCTTTGTAGCTGTTGAATGCCATGGTGGCAAAGCTGGGGAACCGGGAGGACCCACTGCCCCAAGAGTCCTTTGAAGGAGTGGATGAGGACGAATGGGTAAGTGAGTGGGAAATGGGCCTAGCCTCTCCAGCTGGCAGCACTGCCCCTGCCACACACACTGCTGCACACCCCTCCCTCCCCAGGCTTCTTTAACACCCTCCTACTTCTGGTTTATCACCCCAGGACTAGCCCGCCCACAGTCACCTCTGGCCTCAGCCGCTGCTGCCACCTCCTACAACCACCTGGTGCCCCTGAACCCCTCACATCTCTCCATGAGGTCTTCCAGAGGTCACTGGAAGACACCTCTCTGGCTCTGGCACCCCCCACCCCAGAAGCTCTGGTTTCCTCTGGGCTTTGGGCACTTTTGTGGCCACTGGGTCCACCTGCAATTCCTGGAGATCTGTCTGCACCTCTGCTTTCTCTAGGACCAGATGCTTCTCCTCAGCTGCCTGCTAGCATGTGGACGGGGTAGGGAGGGATCAGCAGCATGTCCCCGGGCAGGCCCTGGGTTCCCTGTCTCTCCTACTCTTTCTACTGACCTGGGCCAATCCTGGCCTGGGCTGGCTTTGTCCAGCACTTTCAGTTCGTACACGCCAACCAATCTTGCCTGTTGGCCAGTTCCAGACAAGAGTGTGGGGAGCTGGCCCCCCACTAAGTCATTTGAAGCAGCTCCAGCCTCGGACTCAGGACCAGTTGCCCTGCTTTCCAGGCTTGATGCCAGGAAAAGGGGCCTCACCAAACTGATTGCCCAGTTGGTGCAGTGTCAGCTCCACAGAGATCAGCCTGCGGATACCCTGGATGTTTCCAGCAATTAAACTTTTCTAAGCTGGCCACTTGTACTCTCTGGTCTCTGACTGAAAAGGGGACGGGAACAGGAGTATGAAGGAGAGCCTGGGCTCCCAGTCCAGGCCTCACTTTGCTTCTAAGGCTTTTTAGATGAAGATTGCTGGGATTTCATTTCATTCAGGGCTTGGGAGCCCAGCAAAGGCCTGGATACTGTAATGAACAGGAGAGTCTTTGAGGGAGCGTAAGCTTATTATAACTTTGTTGCACAAGGGAACCCTGGACTGTCTGCTGGAGAGCTGAGTGTTAAGAGAGCCACTGAGCAGATAAAACTAGTGAAAGGAGGGCCGGGGATTTTACTCAGTGGTTTCGCTACCTGCTGTGCAGCGCAAAGACCCGAGTTTGATCCCCAGTACCAAAAAAAAACACTAGTGAAAGGTGATTCAGATGCAGGGGCAAGCCAGTAGAGCATGGGGCACACACCTATAATCCGAGCACACAGGAGGCTGAGGCAGGAGAATCACCTCAAATTTGGAGGACCGACTGGGTTACACAGTAAGTTCAAGGCCAGACTGATTACACTAGAGAGACCCTGTCTCAAAGACACCCCCCCCCAAAAAAAGCAGGGGTAAGCCAGAGTATTCATATTCAGGGGTCTGAAGAGGTGACTCTCATTGAATATGAGAACGAAGACCTGAAGGAGCCGGCTGCAGAGAGAACCAGAAGACTGTTTCAGACAAAAGGAAAGGCAGCATAGGTGATGAGGGAAGAAGGAATTTGGAGTCAGGAAAAGAAAGGCAAGGCAGCGGTCCACAGCATAGTACAAGGCAGCCTGCTTTCATCCATTCAACAAATATTTGTGAGTGCTGGTACTGTGTCAGACAGCCTTCCAGGTTCTTGATATGATATTTAAGAGTGGGGGAGGGCCAGAGATTTAGTTCAGTGGTTTGGCTGCCTCCTGCGAAAACACAAGGACTCAAGTTCAATCCCCAGTACCAAAAAAAAAAAAAGTGGAGGAAACAGACTAAAGTCCTGCCCACCACAAATCCACACTCTAGTGAGAGGAAACAGTCTATAAACAATAAACAAAAATAAAGGAACCAGTGGGACATGGTGGCACATACCTGTAATCCCAGCATTTGGGAGGCTGAGGCAGGAGGATCACTGAGTTTGAGGCCAGCCTGGGCTAAATAGTTCAAGACCAACCTGAATGACATAGCAAGACCCTGTCTCAAAAAAAAAAAAAAAAAAGGGATAAACCAATTACAAAAGGCTACATATAGTATTGATTCCATGTCCATAGAAAGTCCAGAACAGGCAAATCCATAGGAACAGAAATGCAGATTAGTGGGGCTGGGGATTTAGCTCAGTGGCACTGCACTTGCCTTGAAAGCACAAGGTCCTGAGTTCAATCCCCAGTACCAAAAAAGAAACGCAGATTAGTGGTTTTCAGGGGTGGAGGTGGGAGGGGTGGAGAGTGCTGATGAGTGGTGAAAATGTTTTGAAATTGGATGGTGGTGATAATTGCACAGCTCTATGAATATATTAAAAGGCACTGAATTACTGATTTTTAAAAGGTGAGCTGAGAGATGGGTATGTGGTGCGCCTCTAATCCCAACACTCAGGAGGCTGAGGCAGGAGGATCATTGTAAATTTGAGGCCTGCCTCAGCTCTATAGTGAGTTCAAGGCCAGCCTAAACTACAAACTGAGACCTTATCTCAAAAAACTACAATAAACAGCCAGGGGTATAGGTCAGTGGCCCTGCACCTGCCTCTAAAGCACAAGGTCCTGAGTTCGATCCCCGGTACCAAAAAAAGAAAAAAAAAAAAACAGCAGTGTAATTTGTTGAGAAGAATAAAAGAATTTGAAAAAAACTACAGTAAGTAAATAATTAAAAATGAAAAGGTGAGCTGAGAATAGGTATGGTGGCATATGCCTATAATCCCAGCTATTGGGTTGGCTGAGGCAGGATTGCAAGTTTGAGGTCAGCACAGTAAAACTCCATCTCAAAAATGTTGAGCTGAATGCTGTGTCAATTATAGCTCAAAAGAACTGTCACCAAAAACACAGGAACCCAGATGTGGGGGTACACGCCTGTAATCTCAAAACTCAGGATGCTGAGGCAGGAGGATCGCGAGTCCCAGACAAGTCTGGACTACATTTAGCAACTTTGAGACTAGCCTGAACTACATGAGTCTCTATCTCAAAACAAACCAAAAAAACCTAAAACTGAGGGGGCTCGGGTGGGTCTCCACGAGATGTCCTCTGAGCGTAGATTTGAAGAAATGAGTCTCTGGTGTCGCATAGGCAGAAAGAATCTGGAACGAAACGTATTTAGAAGTTCCTCGTTTTCTTACAATATTATGGGGAATTTTACATCCTACTCCATACTGTTTATTTTATAATTTTTGGCCCTAAATATTTTAGTGAAATCAAGGGAATAAAACGGCCCCTCATTTGACAGATTTGCAGTAGCCCTTATTCCTTCAGTATCTGCAGGCGAGCCAGGGTCTGGGGCCGCCCTAAACCAGCCAGATAGTCGGCTAAACCCAAGGCAGGCTCCGTCCCGCGCACGTCACGGCCGGTGCCCCGCCCCGGGGCCATGACAATGCGCATGCCCAGCACGGCCTCGCGCACGCGCTCTCGCCTTTCTTGGCCTCTGATTTACCCACCTTGCTTTTGAGTGGGGCCTCAGAGTCCAGAAATCCCAAACGTGCGCCCCAGAGGCAGAACAGTCGCCATGGTGAGGCCTGAGGCGGGCACTTCCCCGGGAAGGGGAAGCTGGGACGGGAGAGGCGGCGAGCTCCGGCTAGGCTCAGGGCGCTGTGAACCACCCTCGTGCGCGGCAGAAAGCAGGGTCTGGGGGCGTCGCACCCGGGCCGAAGCCGGCGGGGACAGGGCGGCGACCTTTGGCCGGGAAATTGTGCGGGGCTGGAATGCAAGGCTGGGGTGGTTGACCGGCCGGCGGGGTCGTAGCGTCCCTCACCTGGTGAGACCTAGCCCCTCTGGGCCGCGGGAGGTGGAGGATGGGCGGCCCCCGAGCCTTGGGGCTCTGCGCAGCCCCTGGGTTTGCCCGTTATCCGGTTATTATCTCCGTTTTACAGTCGACTATACAGGGAAGTAGTAGATCTGGCACTTGAACTGGTCCCCAGGCATGTAAAATGGAGCGTTTCTATGATACCGTTGGCACCGAGAGCTCGTCCGCAGACCTGTGCGCTGGCAAGATCAATTGGGGAAGTGTGGCCGGGTGCGGCGGCGCACGCCTGTAGCCCCAGCTGTCAGGAAGCTGAAGCAGGAGGATCGCGAGTTCCGAGCCCATCCTGGACAACTTAGCCACTTAGCCAAAGCTTGTCTCAAATAATAAAATAATAACAAAATTTAAAAAGGGAGGTCCTTGAGCTCTGTTTCTGGAGGCCTTATATATAAATTCCCCAAGTGATTCCGGTGCCGTCGGTTTGAGAGGCTCTTCTTAATTAATAATGAGGATAAAGTGTAAGTTACATGCTTACAAGTTCCAGACCCTGAGATGAGGCTTTATGTAGGTTTTCATTAAATTCATAATGAAGTCATACTGACCTTGACCACATTTTACACATAAGGAACCTAAAGCTAGGAGAATTTGACTTTTCCAGGGTCATTTTTTTCCACAAGCCAGAGACTGGCTGAGTTCAGCACTTTGTGTCCCCAGACTACATTTGTCACCACATTATTCTTGTCTTGTGGTGGTCACTCTTTGAGGACCTACAGTGATCCTTCACTGCACTGGCTCCTTCACTTGTATTCATTCCCTCATTTAACCCTGAGCCTCCTCCAAGGCCAAATAAAACATGGCCCTGGAGGAATTTGTATCCTAAAGAAGAAAGAGTGAGTTGGTAAAATAAGACTCTATGACAGAATGTTAATAAGAAAAGAAAGTACTGCGGGGACAAGCTTAAGAAAATTTCACGTGGGGGATGGGTTTTAGGCGGCCAGCGCATCAGTTCTCTGTTACCTACAGTACTTTAAGAAAGGGATAGGAGAGCTGGGATGTAGCTCAGTGGTTCTGCCACCTCACAAGCACAAGGTCCTGAGTTTGATCCCCAGTACCAAAAAAGAAAGAAAGAAAGGGATAGGAAGCCTAGTACAAATAAGTAGAAAAGTAGGATAGCAGCCTTTCTTGGTGATACAAGTCTCTACAAAGGAAAGCCTCAATTTTGTAATTCTAGTCACTTCTCCAGGAAGAGGAAGGAACTGTGTTAAACTCAGAGCAGCAAAGACATTGTGGAGTAGTTAA